CTACTTGCATTCACAGGCTCTGATCAACAGACATGAAGTCTGAGGGGTGCTATTCAACCCAGACAGAGCACTTCAAGTGGGGCTTAAAACATCTGCTGCTCGGGACCTCGCATACACACAATGTTTCACATGAAGGTGAACTTCTCTTCATTGTTTATGGCCAGCAGCAGCCGTACTGAGGTTACACAATTATACCTGGGTCTTTCTTCCATTTTAAGTCCAGGCAAGATACTTCCTGGAACTAGAATTGCAGGTGTTAAGGACAGAATTGGAGTCCAGTGGAGTTATTACCGTTCAATACCCCTTCACCAATATTCCACAGTATCCACAGGCTGGAGGAAGTATCTGCTATAGTCACCTGGCTGTTTCTGTGAGGCTGGGATCAAGCCCAGGGTCTTGACATGCTAGACTATGTCCCAAGCCTGTCATTTGTTTATGAACAAAGCAAAATACTGTGTTCACTTGAGTGGGTGAGCCCTGTAAAGCAGTCCTTCATTGGGTCTGCATGGGGAGTTTACAGAGCCATGCAAAGGCTGCAGCCAAGGACAGTGTCCCCTCAACTCAGTCCACAACACAACTAATTACAAGTCAGCAACTACAACACTCGTGACCACTGTCAGACATTAACCCCACTCTCTGAAACAGATTTGTTTCCTATGAGGATGTACTGTTTAGAGAGAAGGGGGACATCTGCATATGCCTCTAACCCCAGTCCTGGACAGATGGAGGAAGGAATATAGAGTGTGGAGCAAGCCAGGGCTTCACAGGACGGATCCTGCTTTCTTCTCCTTCAGTGAAGGTTTAGACCCCTACCCACATGAAGGAAGTAGAAGGGAGAGCAATAACTCAGCAGGCAAAGGTGTCTGCCACCAAGTTTCATGACAACATGCTAGTGACACAAGTGAGTACAGGCTGAACACAACTACACACACACACACACACACACACACACACATTAAGTAAAAATAGAAACAATTGTTTTTAATATCTCTTTTATTTGTGTGTGTGTGTGTGTGTGTGTGTGTAAGTCACATGTGTGTGGGTGATTGAGGAAGCTAAGAAAAAGGAGTTGAATTCCTTGGAACCACTTCGTATGGATGCTGGGAACTGAATTCTGGTTCTCTGGAAGAGCAGCAAACACTCTTAACATTTCTCCAGCCCTTTAAAAAAAAAAAAGAAGAAGAAGAAGAAATTAAAAAAAAAATGGATCAAGACTCAAGACTTAACCACTCTCTACCTAACAATAAATTCTAGATGGAAAAGTTGTTGAAATTTAAAAATTCAAATTAATAAATTAAGTACACTCAAAATAACGAGAAGCCATTTTTTATAATTTCAAGATAGGAAAGTATACTTTTTTCTAAACACTGGTCTTGTAGCAGAAAAGACTATAAGGGAAAATATCTGAATGCCAAAAAATGTAGACTCTACAGGCAGAAGATAACCGCATAAGCAATACTGAAGGACAAATGCGGTCATTTATAGTTCAGGAGTGTTAATAAGCAAAACAATCAGAAGGCTGGTTTGGAGATGGCTCAGGATAGCATGCTTGCCCAGCACGCATATGTAAAGATGATTAACCTTAAGCCAGAAATGGTGGGGCAGGCCTATAATCCTAGCACTTGTGAGATGGAAACAAAAGGATCAGTTCAAGGCAGCCTCAGCTACAGAGCTTTTAGTTTGAAACAAGCTCAGACAACATGAGACCCAGTTCAACCTTTTATAGTCAAAGGAGTGAAAACCAAACCCTGTCTCTAAGCACTGACCCGGTGCATGTGAAGCTCTGGTCGGTACCAGCACACAAAAGCAAACCAGTCCTATTGAAGTGACTGTCTCAGTTCCTAGTCTAAGCATTTTCCTTGGCCCAACCTCCAAATAGGTGCCATTATTACCCTCCCTTACAAAGAACTGAGGGGCACAGGACTTACCCAAGGTCAAGCAGGCTAGCTCCACAGTCACAGACTGAAGCATGGTGCTACCAGACTATGTCTCCCATCCATCAGCTGGAGAACACATGGAAACACATGTTGTTGTTGTTATGTGTATGGGGGGAGGATCTAGGAGTAGTTGGGGGAGGGGAAATCATGATCAAAATATATTGTATGAAATTTTTTTTAAGATTACTTTTATTTTATGTATACTGGTATCTCACTTGCATGTGTTTCTGTATGAGGATGTTGGATCCCTTGGAACTGGAGTTATACAGACAGTTGTAAGCTGTCATGTGAGTGCTGAGAATTGAACTCAGGTCCTCTGGAAGAGCAGCCAGTGCTCTTAACTACTGAGCCATCTCTCCAGCCTTGATTTTTTTTTTCAAGACAGGGTTTCTCTGTGTAGCCCTGGCTGTCCTCGAACTCAGAGATCCACCCTGCCTCTGCCTCCCAAGTGCTAGGTAGGATTAAAGGCTGAGCCACCATAGCCTGAGGGAAAAAATTCAATTAAAAAATTAAAATAGCTAGGTGATGGTGATGCACACCTTTAATCCCACCACTCAGGGGACAAACGCAGGCAGATTTCTGTGAGTTCTAGGACAGCCTGGTCTACTGAAGGAATTCCAGGACAGCCAGGACTACACAGAGAAACCCTATAGCATGAATCTTAAAAGTTCTTATTAATAAAATCAAATCCGGGGCCAGTTATTGGGGTGAAATGCTGGAAAATCAGAGAAACAGAACAAGCCACAGCTAACCTCACCTGGCCAACTTCTCAGCTGGTCTTGTCTCCTCAGACTGGAAGCTTCTGTGTCCTCATCGCAATGGTTCTCAGCTGAACTGTGCTGCTAGAAGCCTGAAAGCTTAACCAGCCAAATGCTTAACCAGGCCAAATGCTTCTAGTTTCTGGTCCTTACGCCTTATATACCTTTCTGCTTTCTACCACCACTCCCTGGGATTAAAGGCTTGCTTTCTGGAATTAAAGGCGTGATGAGTCACCATGCCTGTCTGTATCCTTGAACACAAGGATTTCTGCCTCTGGAATGCTAGGATTAAAGGCGTGTGCTACCACTGCCTATCCGTTATGTTTAATATTGTGGCTGCTCTGTCTCTGACCCCAGATAAGTTTATTAGCATGCATAATATTTGGGGGAATACAATACCACAAAACCCTGTCTTGAAAAACAAAAATAAATAAAATAAAATAAAGTCATCCAGATTGATGATATTTGCCTGTGAACCTAGCCATCATGTGGCCCAGGCAAGAATATCTCAAGTTTGAGGCCAGCCTGGGCTACACAGCAAGACCTGGTCTCAAGATAAGCAAAATCACAGAAAGGTCCATGCTCATAATCTACTAATAGCTGGGAGAGAGAAACAACCCATAGAAAAGCAGAAATATTAACAGAGGTCTAGGCAGAATGCCAAGCCAGTGGCCCTCCCACCCACTCCCTCCACCTCTTCTGTGTTCCAGAGGGGACTTACGGACAGCGAAGGCAAACCCTTCAAGTCATTTCACAGTCCCCATGCTCCTCCTCTTCCCAGAAGCCAGGCTGCTGAAGGGTGAAATGGAGTCCGAGGAAGGTGAAGGCAACCATCAAGCAATCTGGACAGGATGAGGAAGACAGGTCCCAGGAAGATCCCAAGGGTATGAAGCCAGGCCATTTAGCTCCTTATTCTTCCTCTTGAGCTCCATGCTTGCAGGAAGCAAGGACTGGCACGTCACACGGAAGAGGCCACGGGGGACCCGAGCTTCTCCCCAGCACACAGTGTCCGATCCTGTGGAGGTAAGCACAGGTGTGAGACCTAGCAGAACTGCTCCTATCTCCTCTCCTCCACACGAGCCAGGAGCTCCTCTGGTCAAGTTAACTCCTGACCGGCCCTATACCTACTGCCTTGCCACAGCTGCCCCAGAGATGCAGGGCTTCCTCACCTGGGCCGTCCAGGAAGCAGCTTGGAGCCAAGTGTGGTGACTTACACCAGTAGCACTTGAGAGGCTGAGGCAAGAGGATTAACATAAATTTGAGGCTAGCTTAGGTGAGCTCCAGGGCAATCCAAGCTACAGAGAGAGACACCGTTGTAAAAAAAGAAAAAAAGAAAAAAAAAATTTAATGGGGGTCAGTAAGACATCATCAAGTCTGCCGACCTGAGTTCAATTTCAGAATTTTAGTCACTGGAACTCACATGATGAAAAGAGAGAACCTGCATAAACAAGTTGCCCTCTGACCTCCACATACAAACTGTAGTACACACACATGTGTGTATACACACACACAATAACAATAGTAATAATAATCAATAATAATAGTAATAATTTTTTAATAAAGAATGAGATTAAGGGTATAGCTCAGTTGGTAGAGTACTTGCCTAGCATACATGAAACCTTGAATTCAATCCCCAGTACCACTTAAAAGTGGGCATGGTAGTAGCCACTTGTTAATTCCAGCAGTTGAAAAATGGAGACAAGATCAGAAGTTCAGAGTCATCCTCAGTTACATAAAGATTTCAAGGCCAGTCTGAGCTATCTGAGGCTCTACCAGGAAAAAAAGAAAGAAAGAAAGAAAGAAAGAAAGAAAGAAAGAAAGAGAGAGAGAGAGAGAGAGAGAGAGAGAGAGAGAGAGAGAGAGAGAGAGAAAGAAGGAAGGAAGGAAGAGAGAAACAGAGAAAAAAGGAAAAAAATTTTAAAAAAAAGGAAAATAACAAAAGTCACTTTTATCATATTCTATTTTAGGCTACTTTCTGAATTTAGGAGCCCAAGTATCGTCAGGGTCCAGCTGCTCTACTGACCATTCTTTACACAGGCTTGATTTAGGAAGAGAACCCAGATTCTCCTAGGCTGTGACACAGAAGTCTCTGCGAAGGTCTAGACCTGGGCCGCAGGCCCTGTCTGACTTCTGCTCCCTTCTGTGAGCTCTCAGTAGGACAGACAACAACAACAATGCATGCACCAGGCCTCCAACACGCTCAGTTGGGAGAAAGCATCTACTGAGATGGGACATGAGTCAGCAGGTAAGTCAGAGAAACCCAGGCACAACCCACTTCTCTGGCAGACTGTTTCTCTCCCTCTGCTGTCTTTGTTGAACATGGACACACACACTAGCAGATATCATACTCATTACTATGGGATAAAATCATGAGACGCTTCCTTCCCTCAAGAATTCTTTCCACTAATGCCAGGTATAGTGGTCCATGCTCTCAATCCCAGCACTCCTGAGGCAGAGGCAGACGGATCTCTGTGGGAGTTTGAGGCCAGCCTGGTCTACACAGAGAGTCCCAGTACAGCCAGGGCTATTCAGAAAGACTGTGTCTCAAAAACAAACAAACAAAACAAAACAAAACAAAACAAAAAACAAAAAAACAACAAAAAGTCACTTTTTGCTCTGATCCATCCCAACCTCTGGCTCTTACAATCTTTCCACCCTCCTCTTATGTGATGGTCCCTGAGTGAGTTGGAACATGCTGTCTGATTTTGTTTTTTTCTTTTTCTTTTATGTATACAGATGTTTTGCTTGCTGTCTGTATATCATGTGTATGCAGTGCCTGAAGAGGCAAAAAAGGGCACTGGATCCCTGGAACTGGAGTTACAGGCAGTTGCAAGCCACTATGTAGGTACTGGAAAACGAATCTAGGTCCTCTGGAAGAGCAGTCAGTACTCTTAACTGCCAAGCCATCTCCCAGCCCAGCGCTGAAATACTGGGACCAGAGGTGTGCACTCTCCCTCCCATCTAGCTCTTGGCTTGCTGTCTGTAAAATGGACAGTGCAACCCATCTCTTTCCTAGGTGAAATCACAACACAGGTGAAAGGCCTCTGTAAGAGGAGCTAAGCTGCGTATTGCGACATGGGCCTGGAGTCTCAGCATGAGGATGGCTGAGGCAGAAGGATCATGAGAGACCAGCCTGGGTTACACAATAAAAAAGGAAAAGGAGCAAAGCACTGTGCTGCTCGAGCAGATATTGAAAGCCTTATAGGCCATAATTCAGGTGGAACTGTGGAAGACTGCTGATTCTAAACTGAGGCCCTGAACTGGGCTCTTAAAGGAGGAAAATGACATCCAGTTGCTCATAGGAAGAACTGAGCGATATGAAAGAGAGCTCTGGGAAGAGAGGGCAGCCATAGTAGAGGAAGAAGGCTTTCACTAGAGCAGAGGAAACACACACAAACCCTACAGGCAAGCCTCAAGTATGCTGGGCGGCCACCAGGGCCTGCATTTAAACCTGCTTCCCAATGCCAAAATCTCCAGAAGCAAACCAGAAGCACTGGTTTGCAATGGCAGATGACATTAAGGCCCTCCATGTAAGCATTTGGGTTCTGCCCCTTCCTATGATATCTGGTCTGTGAATGTTTCTTTTGTTTGTTTTGTTTCAGACAGGGTTTCTCTGTGTAGCCATGGCTATCCTAGAACTCACTCTGTAGACCAGGCTGGCCTCGGACTCATGTAGATCCACCTGCCTCTGCCTCCCAAGTGCTGGAACTAAAGCCATGTGCCACCATGCCCAGAAAAAGTTCAATTTTATTCCCTAAAATTTCAAAATCATTAACCAGATGGCTAACGGAGCAAGCTGGCTGGCAACCTTAGTGTTAGTAAATTGTGCACAAAGAGTCAAGCCGGGCATGCAGCTGGTTATCTAGAATACAGGTCTGAGTGGACTATGGAATCTGATCAGAAAAGCGGGGGTG